TTAGGATATGCAAAGTTAGAGCACAATCGGATCATCTTTTCTCTTTCTGTACAGTAAAATATTTTCTTTAAAAAAATTGACCTTTTGCGGGGGAGGTACCAAAAGGACTGATAATGTCCATCTCCGAACTTGACCTAAGTTTGACAATAATATTCCGATGTACCAAGTTTGAGAGTATCGTGCGCACCAGCCAGACAGGCAGACGGTCGGACGGAGGGTCGTACTAGAACGGTACAAAAAGCAGTAAAAGGTACCAAATATGGTACCCTTTGGAATGAGGGTCACTGAAGGAGTGCAGGATAGATGTTCCCAGGGGCTTTTTGGAAATTCGAACTTTAAGGTTACAAAAAATGTTTGGTACCATTTGGGATGCTATTTGAAAGGATAGATATAAAAACTTAAAATTTGGTATGAGAATCAACGTTGGAAAGTAAGTTTGATATATAGAGAAGGGTTTGGAAACGTGTACTAAGTATGCGAACTCTACTTAATGGTACTACATTTGGAACAGTTTAGTTTAACGGAAGAAACTCTAAATTTGAAATTTTGTATTGGGATTCCTGTTCGTGGTAAAGAGGTTTTGGTTTTGGAAATGAGTACGAAAAGTACTAAATAGTACTATAATTGGTACAATTTGGTATTGGGAGAACTGATTATGCTTGAAATCTGAATGATGGTACATATGGGGATACATATAGGGGTGGGTTGGTAAATGTGTACTAAAATGGTACTACATGTGGTATTGCGTGAATGGATAGAGATAAAATTCCGAAATTTTATGTTTAGATTACTGATGGTATCTGTGTTCTAGATTTGGTGGTGGTTTCGGAAATGCGTCCTATCACTGTATGAAAAGTACTTAATGGTAGTAAATTTGAGTATTAAATTGAGTGAAGGGATAGAGCTGAGATCACGCAATTTAATACTGAGATCTCCATTGGTATCTGGAATTGAGATGTGGAGAGGTTTTGAAAATGTGTACTATCATTGTACGAAAAGTTCTAAATTTGTGTGTTGGGAGAAGGAACAGAGCCTTCGCAAAATCATGATATAAATCCCAAAGCAAAGACTTTTGGTAAAACAGGTAAGATGCAGCAAAAAAAAGCAGTAAAGAGGCAGCTAAGTTTGGCCGGGGCGACCTATTAATACCCTACACCATTTTGAAGGAACTTGAAGAATTTAAAAAAAATCAGTAGAAAAATACCTCTCAAATGATAACTTTCAGCTGCTATACGAAGACGTGCTGCTATACGAAGACGTGTTATTTTATAAGTAATTTTTGTCATAGGTTGTAATACCCATTACGAACTTCAACTACGAAGATTGAAACAATTCTGGTTAAAAGTTGAAACAATTTGCTAAAATCATGAAATTACCGAATATCATGAGGTATCGTTATATGGGGACTATACGAAGACGGGGATCTGCGTACGCAATTTTTTGTCATAGGCTGCAGTACCCATTACGAACTACAAATACGAAATTTTAAATAAATCCGGTAAAAATATAGTTAAAAACATAAAAATAACGAATATTGGGAGAAACAGTTATTGAGGGCTATAGGAAGACCTGCGCAGAAACTTTTTTGTCAAACTTTTTAGTACCCACTACAAACTTCAAATACGAAATTTGAAACAATTCCGGTAAACAATGTCGCTAAAATCAACAAAATACCGATTATCGGGAGGTATTGTTCTATGGGTGCTATATGAAGACGTGAACCCGCGTACGAGATTTTTTGTCATAGGCTGTAGCACCTATTACGAACTTAAAAAAATGAAGTAATTCCGGTAAAAAATATCGCTAAAATCATCGAAATTCCGAATATTGGGAAGTGCCGATATATGGTGGCTATATGAAAACGTGGACCTACATAGTCTATTTGTGAACTTAGCCAGCCTAATGGCAAAAACACATCTGTGCAAAATTTTATCTTTCTATCTCTATTCGTTCAAAACAGCGTGAATATTTCGAGGAGTTACAAACGGAATGGCAAAGTTAATATACCCTCCATAGTATGGTGGAGGGTATAAAAAGGGTTCCGTCATGTTAAATAGAAATTGATTCAGATTATGGCATTGCTTCCATTGCTTTAGTTTTTTCCGTTTCAATAATAACCAAAGGCGGTATGATTTACTTCATAAACGTATATTTGTTAGAGGTAGCTCTACTAAATATGCGTAAAGGTGTTCCATCTGTGAAATGTCGAAATATTATTCTATACAAAATATTTTTAACATTTTGGCCCACAGCTACATCTATCCCACTTTACTTTTCTCCAAGTCGACACAATTACGACGAAATTCAAGGGAGTAGAGACATATTTATAAAAATATGGGATTGTTGCATCGAGTAAAAAAAAACAAATTATCAGATTTAAAAATAACAACAAAAAACCAGACTGACAGCATTGTTGACAAAACTAAAAATTAAACAAGGTTAAGTAGTGGTGTCGGGTCTCTACCGCCGCAGACCTTGGACTTTCCAACAGGACTCAGCACCATCGCACTCAGCACGTGCCACCCAAGAATGGAATGTAAGGTTGTCACTAAAAAATACCAAAGTATCGATGCCAAAGGTGACCAAACTAAATCAAATCTAAACTTATTCTAAAATTTGATGCTATTTCCGACATTTTTGCTTTTATTCAATAAAATTTAAAATAAAATGTAATAATTGTGGCGTTTGACTTTGTTGCAGTCTTTTATCTCACCCTGTATGATGGTTTGGACGACTCCCACGAGTACACAAAAGCAGGTACTGCAACGAAAGCATATGGTTATGCTGACGTACTGGAAGACCTTCGCCTCCTCATGTATATGGTCCACTGATGACATGAGGTGACACCACCCTGTTGCAGTTCTCAAGGCAGCATTCTGGCAATGGATGGGAGTGAAGCCCGAGGACATCATGCATAGTGTAATTGTTAATGGCATATGGGGCCGAGTAGCCAACCAAAGACCGATCTATCTTATAAAAGGTCAACCAGGTCTTCATGTCCATTCATGTGGCTTGTGCGTACTTCAGGAACATGTTGTCGAATGTGACCTGTCTTTTTCACGCAGAATGATCACAATGTACTAAAAGGTATCCGAATGAGGTAGTTACAACATTAATAAAACATCCGCCTCCCAGAAATAACATTGAAATGTTTTTTTCTCTTCTTCAGGGAGTGTTTATGAAAATACAAAAATACAAATGAGTCGAAACATATAAATAGAAAATGACCTATATTGTGTGCATTAAAAAAATACAATGTGGTTTTAAAATCGGAGCGGATTTTTTATATTAGTTCCTTTGTATGAATGGAAAATGTATCATTCAAAAATATTAAAAAAAAAAAACAAGTAAAAAAGCAGTAATTTCGGCCGGGCTGAATTTGAGAAACCTTCACCATTTGGAATTTAAAAAAATAATTCTGTTTAAATCTTAAAAATATCGAATATAGCAGTTATATTGGGGTCTATACGAAGACGTGGACCTACATAGACAATTTTATGTCACAAACTATAGTTCCCATTACGAACTCTAACTACGAAATTTGAAACAAATCCGGTGAATAATGTCGCTAAAATCATCAAAATACCGAATATTGAGATGTACCGTTATATGGAGGCTATACGAAGGCGTGGGCGGCCTCCATACGCAATTTTTTGTCATAGGCTATAGTTCCCAATTCCAATTCTTTTCCAGAGTGTAAAGTACTCAGAGTCAAAAACTCTTGAGACATTACTTCTCACCAGCATCTGAGGATGCTATGCAGTTGCCAACACGGATTTCGTCCACAACACAGCAACACAACAGCATTGCACGCTATATCCACACATAGTAGTTCGAAACGTTGGATAATCAACTATAGGAGTGGACGCCTGTCTTATAAGGAATTCCGGGAAAAGAATTCTAAACGCCGTAAAGGCAAAGGAGTAGTTTCTCTGTTAGTTTTCTCCTCTGCCTTACCGGAATTCCTCGCCCTCCAGCCGTATGCAGACGTATGGTATATGTGTAAGGTTGAAGATTTATCTCGCAATGATTGCCGCATTCTTCAGTACGAGGAATATGAAAATATCCACCACTATACCGAGGGACAGATGGTCTGAGGAGATGTGCGGATCACGGGAAATATAATTCCGATTACAAACTACCTCAAGATCCAGGGTTCACATTTGACAGCATGTTCAAGTCGTCCGCACAAACCACAGCTATCTGTAACAAAATGAAAAGTGGGAGCAAATTCCTCACGGCGCTTGGCAGTAGCACTTGGGATAAGGAAACGGAATCCTTTTTGACCCCATTGTCATCTGCGAGTACAAATGCTACGCAGTGGAAGAACATCCAGACCTGACAGAATGCTGCCCTGAGGCTGTCTCCTCATAACACCAGCCGACCATCTTCATGAGGAGGCGAAGGCCCTTCCCATACGTGAGCATAACCACATGCTTTCGTTGAATTACCTGCTTGTCACAGTCACAGATGCCATCAACAATTACAGTATGAATGCTGTCCTCGGGGTCCACCCCATCCATTGCCAGCATGCTGCCAGGATCATATACACCAGGAGGCGAAGGTCCTGCCAATACGTCAGCCTAAACATATGCTTTCGTTGCATTACCTTATTGGGTGTCACCCAAACTATCATGTGTTGGATAAAACCAAGCGTGTCAGGAAGGACATACATAACCTAGAGAGGATGGTCAAAAGCCATAAGAGAGCGAAGCTCTAGATCAAAAATATTGTCAACGCTGGTCTGATTGGAAATCGTACTGAATCAGTCACTGATGCCATATTCAGTATCATTATTAAAAATATATATGACTTTGAGATATTTTAATATACCACCAACCAATTTTAGATCTACACCCACATTATAAGTAGCACAGCAAACTCTACCACAAATAGTCTCTAGTCAACAATTGACTGACAATTGTCAGGATGATTGCTGGCTTCAATCAAATAAAAATTATTTCAACAAAATATTTACTTTTGTTCAGTAGCATTTTAACACTTACTGTTGTTGTTGCTGTTGCTGCTGCTACTGCTGATGCAAAATTTAAGTGTCAGGATCCTTTTAAAGTTTGCATGAAATTATGTTGTGATAAAAATTATATTTATAATTTTCAATTACAAAAATGTGTCCAAACCATTCATTTAAATTTATCGTGGACGAAGACTCTGCAAATTAATAATATAACTAAATCCGAGAATTTGCTTGATAAAATCGATTTTGAACAAGTCTTACCTTGTAACACATCGAGAAATTTTGCAAATTACGATTATGATATGCTGGAAATGAAGGTAAGTGTTACGGAAATGCAATTAATTTGCTGGAAAATGTAATATTTACGATTTCATTTTTCAGTATGTTTCTGGAAATTATTGTTTCACACCCTTCTATGCCAGAGAGCGTAGGCAACATGTCCTCTTGCCTATCTCTACGAATTGCAATGAGACATTGAATAGTGAGGTAAGTAAAGAAATTTATCGGAAATTTATTTTCCATAGTTCTAGATAACTCTTCGTAGCTCAAACACAAATTGACGATTTTAATTCATATCATTTTCAACCAATTCCACATTGGGCTATAAATATTTCCTCATTTCGATTTTTTCCTAATCTAAAACTTAAATCGTCTAACATAATTCATGGAACAACAGCTTTAAAATACAAAAAATGTACGATATTAGATAAAAAGCCAAATAATTAAGAGTTTAAGATGGAGAATTGTAATTGGAGCTATCGTTGAGACAGACTTCAATCCGAGCAGCCGATCCTTCATTGTGTTCAGCTAAAGAAATCGTCATGACTGTCTTGAAAGCTATTTACGGCAAACCTAGACGGAGTCAGTCCTAATTACAGGACACTGCAATATAAAGGCCATGACTTCCAAGGAGGTGGGGGGGTGACGAAGAGGAAGCTGAGACGGTGGTGCACTTACTCTGCCACTGCCCAACTCTTATCGGAGTGAGACAGATGCTACTGGATAAGCAAATTCTGCCCGACTTGCCCTCCCTCTCCGAAACCAAGCAAGCGGTCATTCTACATTCTACTGGTACAATAGGTTCTAACGACTTTGGAGCTTTCTGTGAAGGTTGATTTGACACTGTTTCCATAGTAATCACTTTTCCTAGGGAACAGATGATATCGGAACTCATCCTTCTTTTAAAAGCATCGACTAGATTCTCTCTTTTTTCCTTAAGCTGGCGTTGGGATAGTTCCTTAATTTTCGTTCTGATAAACTGCAACTTATTTTCAGAAAGTTTGGATGGACCCTAATAGGCGTTTCTATTGCAGTAATTTCTCATTTGGTTTAGCTATTGTTTGTACCACCCAGCAGATGTTTCAACTTGTTAACGGGTTTGGTTGATGAGTCAGGTGAAGTGTTCCTCAAATCTGCCTTGAAAAATGTATAGATTTTACTTCTTCGCCGCCTCCTTTTAATGGTCTTCAGATCTTTCGCCTTAGCCAGAGCTTTAACTTTCTTTAAGCTGGAGAGTGGTACAATAGGTTCTAACGGCTTTGGGGCCTTTTTGGAAGTTTGATAATTCAGCTAAAGACTTCTTTATAGCTGTATTGGAATGTTATTGAAGTTGGTCTAAGCATATTATTTTTCGTCGCAGCCGGCTTCATTGAAGTCGGGTAAACAATAGCTAGCCGCAATTGTCGTTTCTTAAAAAACCTCAACCAATTTTGTTGAGAAAGAATCATTCTTATGGAAAGTTCCCTTTTGGTGGCATTAGGATAGCCTCTTTCGAACTTCAGTTTCGTTCTGATAGGCTGCAACTTCTTTTCAGTGAATTTGAATGCAGCGCTATCGACGTGTGAAGTGCAGTAATATCCCACTCGGTGTGGTTATCATTGATACAGATTTTGTCTCATTCAGCTAATGCCTCACCTAGATGGCTGGGAATTTGTTTGATAATTCAGCTGAAGATTTCGTCATAGCTGTATTGGAACGTATTTGAAGTTGGCCTCTTCTTCGTTCAAACCACATTTACGGGTTAAAAGTGGCTAGCCGCAATTGCTTTTGTTTTAAAAGCCTCGACAAAATTTGTTGTTTATCGGAAGTTCCCATTTCGGTTGCTCTGGGATAACCCCCTTCGAGCTCAAGGTCAGTTCTAATTAACGGCATACTTTTTTCACACAGCTTGGGCTTTACCCAGATAACAGGTTTGATTGATGATTCAACTGAAAAAAACAGTTTGTCATAGATGCCGTGGAAAAATGTTTAGGCTGTCCTTTGAACATTCTTCTTCTTCGCCACAGTTTTAGGGGCTTGTGGTTCAGTCGACTCAGCTATAGTTTCAACCTTCGTTGAGCTGGAGCATGATACAATAAATCTTAACGGCAGACAGGCTGCAGGTGATCGAGAGCTACCCGCGCCCGTCATTCCTTTAGGAACCTCAACAATTTTCCCAGGGATCATGCTTATCGAAAGTTACCTTGAGGTTGCAATGGGATATTGCAGTAATTTCCTCAACATCTTTGATGTTTTAAAAGTTGATATGCCTTACGATCCTCCGAATTCTAACTCGAACGCTGCCAGAGGAAATAATTACTTCGATACATAAATATTTTGGTTATGTTTCGGTGTCTTTGTCAAGTATCCATTCCTTTTCTCATCGTTTTTTTCTCCTTTTTTTAGGAAATATTCATTGAGCCTTTCACAAACCCCTATTTGTCCATGATCTTTATGATCATATCACTAACAATGGTCTGTTCCCTGATGATCATGTATATGTACGGAAAAATTAAGGACTGGGGCCAAAATGTTATGACCAATCTGCTGATAAGTTATGGCGCAGCCCTGATAATACAATTACTTCTTATGATGTTTCTTTTTTTATAATTTGCTATATCCAAACTTAATGACAAAACATGATGGTAGGTTTGAATTTTTTATATATATACAGGGTGAGATGAAAAAACTGCAACCAACTTCAGACTGCTGTCATTTCAAAGCCACTCGTCCGACAGCTGTTAAAATTATTCCAGTGACAGGTCATTTTATTGTTTACAAGCGTACAAAAGCATTTTGGTGAGGATTTCCAAAAAAAAAGTTATTCGATATGGAATTCAAGCGTGATATCTTTATGTTTGGCTGGAAAACCACAAGTGGCTATCGGTAGAGCACTCCAGCATTTAAATGCGAATAGATCTTTTGTGTTTCGTACCATCGCTCGTTACCGTGATACTGGTAGCGTAGCCTGAAGTCAAGAAAGTCGACGGAAGAAAACAGCAGCAGATGGTTGGAAAAGTAAAGAAGCGACTTGATCGAACCCCGCGTCGCAGTGGGCGAAAAATGGCTCGTGAGCTGAACATATCGCAATATTCCATTCTACAAATATTGAAAAATGAGCTCGGGGAAAAGCCATTGAAATTCCAAAAAGTGCAAGAACTTACTCAACAACAGAAAGAAAATAGACTCAAAAGAGCCGAAAGTGGTGAACTGCCGAATTTGGTTTTCTCCGATGAGAAAATATTCGTTGTCCAGCAGTGGGTAAACATACAAAATGATCGTGTTTACTTGCCACAGAGGTCAGCTAAAAATGTGCACCTTCGGTTAGCCAGAACTCTAGCGCCGGCCATGGTGATGATGAGGGCCGCCATAACAACCGATGGTCGCTCTCCGCTCATATCAGAATAAATGCCGATTATTATCGCGAAAATATTCTGGAGGGAGTATTAAAGCCTTGGGCACGCAAACATTTTGGCCGCAGACATTCCAACAAGACTCAGCACCATCGCACTCAGCAGGCGTCACCCAAGAATGGTTACAAAATGAGGTTCCTCGCTTTATTTCCAGAACACAATGGCCACCAAAATCTCCGGATACCAATCCGTTGGACTATTGTGTCTGGAGCATTTTTGAAAGCAAGGTTGGCACTAAAAAATAGCAAAATCTCGATCACCTCAAGCAAGCGCTTCACCGGGAATGGGCCAAAATACCGCAGAGCAACATTCGGGCAGCGCGTGACGGTTTCATGCCCATATGAAGGCCATAATTTCATTTCATTTATTTATATGTTGCAATGAAAAAGCCATTAGGCCAATAAGTATCACAACTATCAGAAAACTACATAATTCGTGCCAAAGGTGACCAATTTGAACAAATCTGAACTTATTCTAAAAATTGATGCTATTTCCGAAATTTTTTTCTTTCATTCAAAAAAATTTTGAAAAAAAACATTTAAAAATTATGGCGTTTGGCTTGGTTGCAGTTTTTCATCTCACCCTGTATATAATGATATATACTTTTTAAAGAATTGTTTTATGTATGCTATCTAAATAGCATTGTTCTATATTTTGGCGGAGCCGGCTTACTGTGGTTCAATGTCATTTGTTATGAATTACCAGGTGCTTTTTTAAATATTTCAAAAAGCTGGATCAAAACTCTATGTTATTCGTTGTTTGTGTGGCTGCTGGCATTACCACTGATGTTCCTGCATGTACACCTTGCGAATATGGGTTTTGCATATGCCATGGGTAAGTGCATGAAATCGTACTTTAACATTCCTCTAAAAATCTTTGTTTTTTCATAGGATTTGGTGTCTCCCTTTTGCCGATAAATTTAATATGTTTTACGGTAATGATCTTTAAAAAGTATGGCTTTTTAAAATGGAGACATGTGGACATACGGATGTAGTAAGCAAACCCAACGATTGCAACCAAACCATATATTAATAAAAGTTATATTACAATTTTCGTTTTTAGTTTACAAATTGGACTAAAACTGATCCTCATATTGGGACAATCAAGCATCAACTACTTCATTGCTATGGCGATTAGTTTAAGTGTAAAACAAACAAAATTAATTGCATTTATGCACACTATAAGTTTAGTCTATCTGACCGATGTTATATTGATTTTATTTGTTTGGAAATTTCATGATATTTTGAAATCAATGTAAGTAATTAACTCGAAATTGTTTTAAAAATCATACACTTATATTGGATTCTTTCAGATTCGGTTGTTGTGGTTCAAAAGTTTCGGCAGATCATGCTTCGATAACTGATGGCGGCGTTATTTGAATATAAGCAAAAATCATTTTGTTTTGATTTCAAAATCATTATAAAACTGTTGATATTAAAAAAGAGCACTGTAGTCTAACATGAACTAATTGCAGGAAGTAAATAAGGGTAACTGACAAACCCACTTTGTAAAAAAAAAACTTTATTCCTACAACATTTTGTAACACAATAATTGTCTATCAATGGTCCAATAAGACGAAACCCACGTTTCACAATAAAACAATGCTCTCCATTAGGTAATTTTTACAATTCAAATTAGTATATTCCTAACTTACCTTAGGAGTATGCAGTATGCTCGGTGTTCCCGGTACACTATCAATGTCGTCCGCCGCCATAGAACTCATCATACCACTATCTTGCATATATTCATCCATAACATCACTATCATCTACACCGTACATGGCCAACGGATTGCTACTGCTCGATGCTATGTCATTTAAATGTGTTAAATTCGATATGGCCGATGGATATTTGCCGGCTTTCTTTTTGCTGGCCGCCATTAGTTCTTTATCGCGTTTGGCCTGGAACACTTTACGTTCAAACTCATTTAGGTGCTCCAGACTTGGTTCGGCACCATTCAAATTGGAAATACTGAATGCCACCCATTGTTCAACAAATTCAGCAGCATCTTCAATGTTATAGGTGGAACAAAGATCAACAGCTGCAATGAAGAGGAAAAATAAGCAATTAATAACTAAACAAAACTATATCAAAACAACATTACATCGAAACAACACTTCCTGACTGGGCTCAATTCCCATATTATCAAATTCTTGTTTCAATTCTGATTCCATTTTTGGGTTTTCACTTATTTTCTTTTTTTAACGGCAACACAAATCGAAAAATCGAGGTTTTTAATATGAAAATGTATGTGGGGAACAACACGTTTTTATTTTAATTACAAACACGCAGGAATTGTTTACAATCCGATCGCCGGGGGAATTGTTTAATAATAATTCGCAATGTTTTTGTTTGTTGTACACAAGAACTGTCAATGGGATGGCGCGCAATTAATAGAGATCTCAACACTTTTTTCTTTAACTAGACTTGGCTGCATTTTTCTCCCACTAGGTCTCTACAGATCGAAAACGGATTGAATTAACATAGAATAAAACAAACGATTTTACGTCCTCCTCTTGTTCGAACAACTTTATGGACAACAAATGCTCATGTTTTGTTTATCTGCTGGCCATAAGATTAGAACATGTTTCTAAAGCTGTTATAAGCTTTTGAGAACGCAAAATTTTGAAATAATGCTCCAGCAAGGGGTAATGAAAACTAGAAAATCATTATATCGAGTGTATATTGTATTCTATTTCGTTTCAAAAATTTGATGAAATTCCTGCTATGAAACATGGTAGAATTAAGAAGGTAAAGCCATTTCAAAGTCCCCATCTCTGATTTGTGTAAATCTGAAAATAAAAACAAAATATAATATTTCCCGCATTAACGGGCAACTAAATGTATAATTTTGGGATGTAATAATATTTTCCCTGTATGTTGGATCCAATTTTGTGGAGAAAATCCGTTATTCCATTCATGTTTTGTGGGTTTTCCCCAATATGGTAATTTTGTAAAAAAATATTAAATAATCAGTACCAATTATTGAATTTTTAAAAGTCAATTTGACACAATAAGTCTCCGGTGCAGAGTTGCATTTTCCTAGTTTCTTTGAAGTTGAGCCATCAGTCGACTGAAGCATTCCACTTCATGTAATACTGATAGAAATATTGGCAAAATTTGAAGAAAATCTAACATTAATTTCCAATTTTATGCCAATAGCTGTTTATCAAAAATTTAAACTTTTGTGGTGGAGATACCATGTCTTCCATGTTCGCATCAGATCTGTGGTTGAGAAAACTAAGACTAACCGCTTTGTGGGGGCGATATCAAAAGGAGTGGGCTGATATATCCCATCTTCCCAGGGTTGTCCGTTCCTTCTTCACAACTGATCTTGTGTTAATAAAAATGTTGGGATGTTTGAAATTTGAAAACAATCGGTCTCTTATTACTCATTTTATAAGAGTTATAATTATTCCAAATTTTGAACCCTTGTGGGGAGTGTGCCGATATTATACATTTTCGCCTCTGACAAAGCACTGACAAAAATATTGAAATAAATTTGCATAGTTCACATACAGTCGAATGATCCTTTCTATTTCTACAAGGTAAATTACTTTCTTTAAACGTTTTGACCTTTTGTGGGGGATGTACTAGAATGAGTGGTCCGATATTGACCATTTACGTACTCGATATAAGTTTGAATATAATATTACGATGCACAAAGTTTGGATCATGGTAGAAGAATACAGATAGTTGTTGGGACAATTTTGAATGAAAAATTAATCGAATTCGTTAAAATTGATTAAAAATGTATATAAAAGAACCTTCGATTGGCGTCATATTAGATAACATATAAAAATCTACTTATTATTTTTTTAAACTTTTGACATATCAAAGTTCCTAAGTTTTGATGCATCTATCTGTATTTTCTACCACCCTTTGGACCAAGTCGTATGCAGCTCTGGAAGGTTATTGTGCTCATGGCACAATGAAGAGAAGGTAGGTCAACTTTGAAAAAATTGCAAGTATAGAGGTCTACCTGTTTGGCTTGTAATGTCAGAAATAGTATCAAAACAATAACAAAATCAAACAACTTGTTGCATTTATTTTGAATAAATAATTGAAAACCGCGAAAACTGAATGAAAGGTAAACACTTCTTTTCATAACCAGGTTCTATATATCTCTAAAGGATTATTTCGCTACAAAAACTCTAGATTTTGTCGATGCATACGATGAAATAAACATTTTGATAACATCCGAATTTGAATGTTTTCTGAACATTTTTTTTGTTATTGAAAGGAAAACACATACATAAGCAAATAAAGATGACATATTAAGCCAAGAAAATAAAAAAAAATGTAATCATATGGTATCATAGCCCTACCTTGATATCATTGTACCATGATTGTGCTCACGAACCATCGAAACATATGTCAAATGTCATGACAATAGTTAAGAAATATTGGTGTACTGGTCCGAGAAAGATACTCCTTAACGATCCACAAATATTCCTTTGAAATTTCTTGAAAATATTTTAACCAAATTCTCTGTTAGAGATCCTGCAAGAATATACTATTTTGACATTTTTTTCTCGATATCATAAAGGGAAAATCGGTTATGGTAGTAAAACATTTCAGATTCCTGCAGTTCTGGAACAAGCCAAAAATTTCAATCGCATGAATTTCATTAGCAGCTTCATGTTCATTGCATTGAACATTTATTTCTGTTCCCTCTCTCTGATATTCTCTGCACAAATCTTGGCAACTCTGTCAGTGAATAACATAAACAGAAGAAAACCCAGAAACAGCTGTTGGCTTTTTTCAATTGAACTAGTTCATTTTGGGGAGCATACAACTGCTTCACATCACCAAACTAGACCACAGGACGGCGTTTTCTTCCTTTCCAGATCTGAGTCACATTTATAATAAATCACAATGGTTATTGGTGCCTTTCCAGCGGCCAAATTGGGTGTTTTGGCCATCAAACAAGTCAGTAAACCCATAGCGAATATCATTAAATCCAAAGCCAAAGAACATCCATTATTTCGTAACTACATTTGTATGCCACCGGCTCAGTGTAAGTATTTCAAAAGGCATTGATGGATTTGCTTAGCAATGCTATGATTATATTCTACATTTCCTATTTAGTGTATAACTGGGTAGAAGTCAAGACGAAAATGTGGGCCCTTAATCTGGGGAAACCTGTCAATGTACCACCACTAACAGAAGCCATGGCTGTGGAGTTGGGAGCAAATCTATTGGGTGAATTCATTATATTTGCCATTGGCGCTGGTCTATTGATATTCGAATATGCCAGGTAAGCATTAAGGATGGCATAATGGCCATATGAGAGAGGCACTCACTTGTAACCGCAAACTTGTGGGGTATTGGTTACAAATACCTTTACTAGTTGCACATCATACACAAATGACTGTAGACAGTATCGAAAGGGGTATAATTATTCAAATCTAAACAAGTTTTGTTTCACGAAGGGTATTTTGTCGATGAATTCAGCAGGGTATCCTCAACTGGTTTCCAATCAAACAAGAATTCTTGGAATTGGACAATTACTAAACAAAATCTATTCAAATAGACACTTTCTGTACAAGCTACGTCCTTAATTATTCCACAATGTTGTTAAAAAATCCTGTTTTGTCCTATAAACCCAAACTCTACATCCTCTTCTATTTCTAACCTCTCCTAATCATAAACTTCTGTTTCCTTTAATTTACAGACAAACCAGCAATGAGGCGAAAAAACAAGAAAAGATGGCCCTTGAAAAAGCCGAACTAACAAATAATTTAGCTGAACTGACATTCCGTTTGGAACGGCAAGATGCCCAGTTAAGAGAATTAACCAGAGTCCTAGCAGATATTGGTAAGTTTTTTTTTTTTGTCAAAATCGAGAAAGAAATCATCGAATAAATGTATGTGTTTTCTATGTTCCCAAGAATTGTTGAAAGAATCATATAAATTATTGGTTGAACATCTCAGGAAACAAGAATTCCAGTCCCGGCAAAATCATTTAACGGAAAATGTTACCAAAGTTCTTGTATGGGAATTGTTGACATTTGCAGAGCTGTTGCCATTCTTTTATTGTTTTATTGCTTTTACAGTGATCGAAATTGTTGAAGTACCTTTTGAAGAATAATTTTCAGACTCAAATCGGAGATATTTTGTGACTTATTTCTGGAATTGCAACCTCGTGTTCGAATTTTCAAAAAATCCCAGAGTGGTCCGTTCATTAAGGTCGTACAGACCAAATCATTATTGTTAATACCTTACCTTCGGGATCAATTAAAGCAGTTTGTGCAGTTCGAGCACAGCGTAAAACTGTGTCGGCTGAGTGGCATATTTTTTTAAAAATAAAAACTGATTCTGAGTCTCAGTCTCTATCTCATCCTCGGCTAGCATACCGAAGTTGATACAAGTTTGTATAATTCATTTACCTTAGGCGGAATGTTACAGTAGTCAGTAGTTTTTTCACATGGTTGTCCTTAAAGAACAGATATCCACTTTTTGGAATTTCAAAGGCGTTACCCAGAGCTCTTTTTTCAATATTTGCCGAACGAATTGAGTATTGCGATAAGCTCAGCTCACGAGCAATTTTTCAGCCACTGCGACTCGGGTTTCGATCAAGTTGCTTCTTTACTTTTCGAACCATTTCTGCTGATGTTGCTGATTTCTTCCGTCCACTTCCTTGGCGTCGGCCTACGCTACCATCACGAATAGCTTTTTTTTCTGGAAAATTCTCACCAAAATGCTTTTGTACTCTTGTAAACCATATAATGAGCTGTCACTGGAATAATTTTAACATCTGTCGGACGAGTGGCTAAGTAATGACAGCAGTCTGAAATTAGTTGCAGTTTTTTCCCCTGAATTAGTTGCAGTTTTTTCACCCTGTATTTAAACGATATTGATTACACCCAACACATTTCATTTCACACAACACATTATACCTCTCTCTCTATGTTTCATTTTGTTTATCATTTCATTCTATTTGTTTCATTGTTTTTTTTTTTAGAATCACGCTCCATTTTCAGATGGACCCGGGAACGGTTAAACGAATATCAACCTTTTAATCCAGACAATCCTGATCAGTCACCAAATAGAAAAACACATGCCAAATCACCTTATCCATCTGATGGTGGTCTAGTCATGAGAGCTTTACATTTCCTAGATACTCAAGTGTTCACCAATGTCCCAGTGTCTGTATCACAACAACAACAACCTCTACACCAAACACCAACATCATCATCAACAAATTCTGCCATGGTTCCAGAGACTTCATTATCGGAAAATCTCGTAGATAGCGATAATTATCAGAAAAGTCCTAGCAACAACAAAGAAAGTCAAGCTCTAAAACAGTGACTACTGCCGCAAAATGTTCTTTTAGAAAATTCAATGGCTAAACTTAAATATGACATAGATTTAGCTACATCTGGATTAGGATCAGATTAGCACCAAAGTTGTTTTGTTATTGATATTTTAATTTTATACAATGACTATTGTAAATTATATAAATATTTTAATTTAAAATGCTGCAGATTCTAATTCAAAACCACAATACTTTTCTACAACTCCAATCCTGTACAATTCTCTCGCAAATAGACCTGCACTTTTTTTTAGAAAATAATTACTTTGGAATTGTAAAAAGTCACTCATGGATTTATAAAATGTGTTATCAAGCATTTACATGTCCTCCACAAAATTGTCACCCATCCACATATTCAATTTAGCAGTATAGTGTTTTTTGTTAATTACTTTTATAAATGTTTGCTTCAAATACAGTCATCAACGTGGTTGCGTATTGCATATGTTAATTGGGTTTTATTACCTTTTGGTTTTCTTTTCTACACATCTTTCCAGCTCCAGCCAAATCTACAACACTACTAAAAATGAATACAACGAATGCTGCAACATCTTCATCGAAAAAGGAAGAAAATACAACGGCAACCAAAGCACCCACAACACAAATAACCAATGCACCCGGTACACCACCTCCTCTTTCTCCGCCTGATAAATCAACAAAATCAACTGAAGCTCCTGTTAGGGCAGCCTAATTAGTTATATATGTTCGGTAGTCGAAATTGTAGTTTTATATAATATTGTGTTATGTTTTCCCCAGGACAATAAAAATTTGATAAACGGAGGGATGATGATGCCGATGCATTGAAAGAGGGTAGAAAAACATAAAATGAAAAGATTCGTTTGTTTTTTTTTTCATAATTTCTATTGGTCCTCCTTTGACAAGACAAATTGGTCTTCTATGATAAGACGAATTGGTATGCTGTGAGAAGACGAATTGGTCTTCTATGAGAAGACGAGTTGGTCTTCTGTGAGATACGAATCGGTCTTTTATGAGAAGACGAATTGGTCTTCTATTAGAATACGAATTGGTCTTCTATGAGAAGACGAACTGGTCTTCTATAGGAAAACGATATGGTCTTCTATGAGAAGACGAATTGGTCTTCTATGAGAAGTCGAATTGGTCTTCTATGAGAAGTCGAATTGGTCTTCTATGAGAAAACGAATTGGTCTGCTATGAGAAAACGAATTGGTCTTCTATGAGAAGACGAATTGGTCTTCTATGAGAAGAAGAATTGGTCTTCTATGAGAAAACGAATTGGTCTTTTAGGAGAATACGTATTAGTCTCCTATGAGAAAACGAATTGGTCTTTTATGAGAAGGCAAATTGGTCTTCTATGAGAATACGAATCGGTCTTCTATGAGAAGACTAATTGATCTTCTATAAAAAGTCATATTGGTCATCTATGAGAAGATGAATTGGTCTTCTATGAGAAAACGAATTTATCTTCTATGAAAAGTCATATTGGTCTTCTATGAGAATGCGAATTGGTTTTCTATGAGAAGACGAATTGGTCTTCTGGGAGAAGACAAATATTGCACGTTTAAGCAATGTTCTTTAAGGACCGCCATAAGGAGTAATGATAAATTTAAATAATTTTATCGTGGATTTTTAGAATATTTTTGGTTTATATAAAAAAAAATGTGGAAAATTACTTACAAAAGTCAATAAAATTTTATTTATAAAAAAAGTTTTGTTTCTAATGATATATACCTAAATATGTAGTGAGCATGAAGAATCCTTAAAGCTAAAACTTAACAAAATCAACTTCACAACTTGAAGGAAAACTGACTAAAAAAATAAAATACTTAAAATTTAAATTGGTTAATGGGAAAAAATACAATTTTAACAAATCTTTTCAAGGTTTTTTTTTTTAATACACAATTTATAATTAGAATGACTGTGAGAGAGGAGGGCGTAATGACAGAATATTATGATGATATTTTAAACTTCCTGATAGCTTACAAAACACTGCAAACTTCTTATTTCCATTGGGTCATCGAACAGATCACGCAAATAGTCCCCGAAAACAGAGACAATTTTGTATAGACTACGTCTTACGGAATTTTTTAATGTTATTAGATTACGATCCAATTTCTTGCCATTCAAATTAACATTGTTCAATTTATCCAATTCATTTTTCAGTTTCAATAGGGTGCGTATTATTTGTGGTAAGGCCACCTGGACCACACCGTATTTATCTTCAACCAAAGACTCGGCACATATGCCAGCCAAGCCTTGTGTTAACCAAACAATTATTTGTGAATTGGATAGTAGGAACACCGTGCGGGCACCATCCGGCTCACCGAACATATAAAACACTCCCGGTATTGTGTGAAAAGCTGTATTCAGAGCCTGTTCAATTTGTTTGGAAATGGCTTCAAATTGTTCATTGATACGTTGTACAGCTGTGGGAGTTGTTGAGGAAACACCGCCCGAAGTGCTTGAGGAGCCAATATTAGCTGTGGGTGGCTCGGAAACCATTCTCCTAATACCATAGGTTTCATTATATTGACGTAAAAGGATTTTCTCTGCCGCTTCGGTGGCTGTTGGTTTATCTGTTTGACAGAACAGTGGTGTGGATTTCATTGTGGAAATATTCTTAACCGATGTTGTGAGGTCATCAATAAAGGCATTTATAATGGCCAGGCACTGTGAGGACAATTGATTCCAATTATAGGGATGGCCACCTGGAAAATAGAAAAAAAAAATTATCAATTATCATATCACAATCATGGTCTAAAGAAACCAATTTATAAGTTTTAGAGCGGAATGGAACCTACCCGGTATTGAGAGAGCATAGATTTCCTTACGCCTATGGGCAGCCGATGTTCCCGTCATATTGAAAAGATCCAATGCAGCTAAGGTCTGTATAATTGGTACTTGGGTCATTGTTAATGCCTCGACTAGGGTTACCTCCTTCTGTCCTTCAGTCACAACGGGATTCTTTTCAATAACAAATTGCATTTCCTCAGCCAAAAGTATCGAAAAGAATTTCTGCATTAAATTCATGTTACTCAAAATTTGCGATTGTAGAATCCAGGAATAAAATAAAATCCTTAGATTTGTTAGCACCGAGAAAAACGATGAAAGACTCGTATCCATTTCCAAATCGAAGAAGCGTGCAAATCGAGCATTGATAATATCCCCGAATATCCAAAAGGCAAAAGCATAACACATCGACGGTACAAACGACTTCATCAGCGATTTGTACATGGTGGAATAGAGCAGCGAACGTAGCTTAACAATTTTGTTTTCCTGTATTATTGGGTATTCCACTTCAGGTTCATGGCGTAAATTTTCCTTAAGGAAATAATAACAGCCAGCTGAGATGCCAGAACCAACGAGAAATAGATAATATGAGTTAATACACTCCATGCCATAACATTGATAGACCAAGGATCTGTAAAAAGGAAAATAAATGTTAACATTTCTTGGGGATCTTTGAATTCCATTTACTTACCTATAATCCACATGCAAATACCGCGCATACAACCATGCAGTTAGAAAGCCTACAGCAATGTGTATCATTAGAAACAGACTCTTCCGTACAATCGTTCCCAGCAGCCATTTAAATCGGGTTCCATAGTATTGCTTTACCGCCAAATGTGATTTACCCAACAGTATGCCATAGATAATGACAGCCGATATTAGAGGCATAATGGACAGCCATGTGTAAAAGGAAAACATCAAACTAAATGTTTCCGTAATCCAATTCAGCAGATGAAATATATGAAAGTTGACAAAAAGCAAGAAGACGGTGAGTAAAAAGAACTGCATCATGATACTCAGGGCAACTGCCGTGAGACAGCGATACAGGCAAAGCTTTTTGCATTCCAACACAGTGGCAGCCGACATATTTCCACTTGCACCGAGGACACCAAACGAATCAGTTATAAATTTAATACAAAATCAACAAAGGAGCCGGCTTCTAACTTTGCTTTATGTTTTTGAGGTTAAGTTCAATAGAAACATTTGTTTTAAATTAGTTTAAACGTTTTTTACAACTAAATTATTGTTCCTTGAAGGCGGCAAGCAATAAATAAATTGGTAAATTTGTAGTTTTTCTTGATGCCAGCTGCCTTTTGTGCAAATAAATGGGTATTTGCGCGTTGAAATGTTGTTGAACGACTGTTTAATTTTTGATTTGGAACGTGTTTTGTTAAGGCTTGGCGTTAGTAACCGATTGTTATTAAATTTGCTCCCTTTGCTAAACAGTACTGCCAAGTTACATGTCACATATATGACAGCTGCGAACTATGAAAATTGCATGACTATGCTAAATAGGCCGCGTTTTGTCAATTGTACCGTTAGAAAAATAAAGAAATATTATTTCCGCGATTAAAAGAGACGCGTGTGTTATATTAACGTTTATTTTCGTTTATAAAAGTGATTCGCGTGTGTTATTATTACAAATATTAAGACATAATTGTCTTAACATGATACGAAGTTTTTTAAAGAGAGAAAATAAGACGAGTTTATTGCAAAGAGAAACATTGTAGAGGCATTTTCGTTGCCCCATTGAGAACATAATTACGTTGCTCCCATATGAAGCCTTCCGTGTAAGGCCATGGAGTTGCTACTATGGAGTATGTAACGTCCAGCAATTACAATACAAGTAATGTACATATATTACGTGCCAGATCCTATCTATCAAAGTAGCCTCAAACAATTAGCCAAATAAGAAAAAGTTGCTGGAGATGTAAGACTACATTGCTAGAAAAATATCGAATCAATGTGCATAAATTAGGCCTCAGATAGTACTTCCAAAACTTGATGTGGACCATCAGTGTACATAAGACTTTTTTGAGCGGCCGGTCCTTTCATAATTCCCCAAATAACAGAGAAATTTGCTTCAACAGACTTTATACGCATTACTGTGACTGTAAAGGTAAGTTATATGACAGTAAAATATTTATACAATCCAAGGGAAAATAACAAAAATATATGTTTATTTCCAGTTAATGAAGATCAGAAGTTTCTGTATAGAAAACGTGACGTGCTGGTTGGGCAATTCAGTTCAAGTGCATAATTGCACCCCAGACATTACCTATCAACAAATTGGCGAAGTCTTCCATGCAAAATCAAGACATTTTTACTACGGAAAACATAAGGTGGTGGAATAACAGTCCAATGAAAGTACAAAAATTAGGTCCCAAGTCGTATCTAACAAATTCTATTTGGATACAGAGTATCAAATAAGGGCACAGCTCATTCAGAATCCCTTGAATCAAACTGGGTTTGAATCAGCATATGTTATAGATCAACACAAATTGCTACAATATTCCTGAAGTAGCCCTTAAGGTAAGATATATATAATATTAATGATGTATGGTCCAAAGGAAATTAAGTAGAATATATGTTTATTTTCAGTTAATGGATAAATGTGTAAAACCAAGGTCCATATCACCTTCAACTTAGGTGTTTATTCTACGGGAACATAGTTAAATAAATACGATTTTTGGAATCCCAAAGAAAGACTACAATGTTTCGTAGCAAATTAATGTGGATGTTTATAAAAACGAGAAAATCGATGGAACTACATATTTGAATCGAAAAACGGACTTCGGCTGAGTAGGAAATGATTCAGGTTTACTGGAGACCTCATTAACATAAAAGAAATGCAAAGTGTGTGTGAGCTCTAAATCAAAATTCAACTGAACTTCATGTTTGGGCTTGAAAATGTCAAATTATTTCCAATTCGCAAAATGTGACATATTCTGTGATAAAAAAAAACATTGTTAGCTTATGGATTTGTTCCGATCTACAGTTTTAATTTCCGGAGATACTGATACAAATATGTACAGCAATAACCCTCAAATTATTTCGTTGACAATCTTTCAAAATTCACCAAATGTCAGCAGAAGAACAGGTAAGACAGTAGTAGATAAACGTTTTACAATATAAATTAATAATACATTTTTTTATTTGCAGGTAAGAAATAAACACATTCAAATAAGAAATATCAGAGTTCCCTCGTTATTTGAAATTGCTTACTATATAGAAGGTGAGGAAGTAGGGCCAGATACACTATTATTGTTATGTATTAGACAACAGCAACCGTACCTGTAAGCATTCAACGTAAATATTATATTGCTTAGAAAAAATCTTACCTCTCAAACCTTGCTTTCAATATATTCAAAACGTTTCGTTTTAATACAAATAGTAAAAACACCAATATCGCATCAGCCATATAGACCCCACCCATTATGTATATTAGCTTTGTTCCTGATACACTGTCAATGTTGTCACCAATTGCAAATGCCACATAGTAGGTAATCTGTGATAGTCCCATCATGGCTGCTAGACGTAGCACTATACGAAAACTAAAAGCAACAAATTAGTCAAGAGATTACAATACATGTTAGAAGAATAAAGGTAGATGCGACTACCAGTATTCTCTACCATTTTATAATGTAAAAAACATTTTAGAGTTGCATACTTACTTTTTTATTATGTTATAGTTACCACATTGTAATTTTGCCGCTTGTACATTACTTTTTAGGATTTGAAATGTTAAGAGAAAGAATACCATTAAATTTAGCGAAAGAAAGATTACCATGAAGGCTGGAAGTAGACAATTACAAATTTTTCAATATTGTATAATAAATTAGTTCGGTAATAACATACCATCCGTATAAATGGGATCCCGATTGACGGTGAATGAATTCAATAAAAGCAATGCCAACGACAGACACCAAACAAACAAAGAATACCAGAAAAATCTAATCCAAATTGCTCTTAAATCATGTCGATGGTTCATTAATCTTGCATTCCGTTTCATTTCATAACATATGACATTGGACCAAATTATTGAGGCAATACCAAAGTACAATGTTATGTGATCCAAAATAACTAAAAACAAAAATCGACACCATGTATATGGTATTACATATAAAGGTCATGTAGCGAAAACTTACCCACATCTTTTGGCCTTAAAAATGGATAAAAAATTTCATAGATTATTACCATCACAATGAAGAGCGGAAGTACCAGCGAAGCTCCATAACTTATGAAGAGCTTTGTTTGTATAGTTTGTCGTAATTCCTTAATTGATCCATATATGAACATGGTTAGTACAGCAAATACCATTGTCGTTATTATCATTGCAAAGACTATAGTGATGTGTAGTTTTTTGGAGGCATTAACAGATATTTCCTGCAGAGGAATAAAAATATGATGAATTATTGAATTTGTTGTTTTAAGAATATTTTTCAGAACTTGAAGATTATTTTTCAAAACATTTTTTTAAAAACAAACAGATCTATAAAAGCTTCTTCAGTAGTTATCCAAGCATAAATGTTGGATTTTTAAGATTATTGTTGAAGGACTATCGTAGAGCTATAATAATAAGAAATACCTCTTTACGGAAAACGTGAGCCATTACATTTGTTAAAGTATCGTTGATTTTTGAAAAATATTTTTCTCGAGAACTAATCGAACTATATTTTGAAGCATATATTCGTACAGATCGTGGATTATTGAATAATATTTTTCTGAAGGACGATCAGATATTTTCTTCTTGGATATTTTCAAGAAGATTTTTATACTCTACACCATATATAGTGTAAAGAGTATATTAAGTTCATCATTCAGTCTGTAACTCATCAAAATAATAATTTAAAACCTAGCAAAGAATATATATATATATTTCTAATCAGCGTAAAATTCCAAGACGATTTAGCCCTGTCCGTCCGTCAGTCTGTTGTAATCAAGCTAGAGTCAAAACGAATAAAGATAGGAAGATAAAATGTTTGCACAGATCAGTCTTTTGTCTGCAGACAGGTCAAGTTCGAAGAGGGGCTATATCGGTCCACTATATACGTTACGTATTCAATAACTACTAAACTACTATCGATGTAAGCATATGTAATAAACACCATCACTCAGTTGTTATGAGTTACCTGAAGGCAACAGTTGTTTTACTAGCAGACCGGGATATATAACAATTATGGCGACGAGTGAACCAAAACCGCGTGGCAATTTTCAAATGGAGCCATTTGATGAAAAGGCTACAACCTGGAATCGTTGGGTGAAAAGATTTGAGACGGCGTTGGCGATTTTTGGTACGAGCGAGGCGATGAAGGCTAAATATCTATTACATTTCATGGGTACAGAGGCTTATAATAAGCTATGTGACAAGGCTTTACCCTTGATACCAGAGGAATTGCAGTATGATAATATTTGTGAATTGCTGGAGAAGCATTATAACCCTAAACCCAATGAAATATTTTTGAACTTTAAATTCCACTCACGTAAGCAAGAACCTACAGAATCCGCCGCAGAATATTTAGTGGCTTTGAGACATCTAGCAACGGGCTGTGGATTTGGTGAATACCTGGACAAAGCACTGAGGAACCAGTTTGTGTACGGCATAGGGAACAGAAAGATTCAAGGCCGGTTATTGGAAAAGGACGATTTAACATTAGATGATGCAATACATTTGGCAAACATGTTTGAACAAGCTGAAAAGGGGTTCCAGGAAATGAATAAGCAGCAAGAAGCCGTTGACATGGTGAATATGAGAAAGACAAAAGAGAGGGAGAAAAGAGTCAGAGAGACAGAACAAAGAGCGAGATCGAAACTGAATACAAACTGTGACAGATGTGGCAGCAGTAAGCATAATTCAAACGATTGCCGTCACATAAATTCTGTATGCAATTTTTGCAGAAAGAGAGGCCACTTAAGGCGTGTGTGTTTTAAAGCAAGATCTACAATGAAACAAATATCTGACGGCGAAGTCAGTGGAAAGGAGGACTCAGAGCAAGAAGTGTGTAAGATGGAAAGTAATGGACAGAGCCCCAGCATACGGGATAAAATTCTATGTACATTGGAAGTAAATGATCGTAATATCACATTTGAAGTTGACACGGGAGCGCCGGTCACCATCATAAGTCTTGCCGATGCGTACAAATATTTTTCGAAGAAAATACGAATTCATGAACCAGATTTGGAACTCTATAGTTATTGCAAGACGCCTATAGATTGCGCGGGATACATATGGGTGAAAGTAAGAGCCAAAGACATAACAAAAGTCAAAATGTATTTAGTACGGGCCAATCGGAAACCATTGCTGGGAAGAGAGTGGCTGCGGTTAGTTAAATTGGACTGGCTGAAGATGTTAAAAGGAAAGAGTGTGTCATCGGTAAGCGTAAACAAAATTCAGGAGTCGGCGAATTTGGAAGGTCAGTTAAGGAGTATCTTGGAGAAATATCCAAATTTATTTTCGAAGTCAGTGGGCAAAATTAGGGGGTTTCAGGCGCGTTTGAATATTAAAACCGATGCTGTCCCGAAATGTATGAAGGCGCGACGAGTACCTTTTCCACTGTTGCAGAGAGTGGAAGATGAATTAGATGACCAAGTAAAAGCTGGATTATTGGAAAAAGTGGAACGTAGCGAGTGGGCTACACCAATCGTGGTGGTCAGAAAGAAAGATGACAAGATACGAATTTGTGGAGACTACAAGATAACGATCAATCCGGTCTTAGTGGTGGACAAGCACCCATTGCCTACAGTCGACGAATTGTTTAGTACAATGGCAGGCGGTGAAAAATATTCGAAGATTGACTTGTCCAAGGCATATCTGCAGTTAGAAGTACATCCAGATGACCAAAAGTTCTTAACCCTGAGCACACACAAAGGATTATTTCAACCAACAAGATTAATGTTTGGCGTTGCTAGCGCCCCGTCTCAGTGGCAAAGATTAATGGAGCAGTTATTAGCGGATATACCGGGTGTTAAGGTGTTCCTGGATGACATTAAAATAACAGCCAAGGATGAGAGGACACACTTAGACCGGTTAGAAGAGGTGTTAAAAAGATTAGACCGATACAATATGCGAATAAATCTTGCTAAGTCGGAATTTCTGCGAGAGAGTATTGAGTATTGTGGTTATGTGATTGATCGACAAGGAATTCGTAAGATACCAGCCAAGATTAAGGCTATTCAAGAAATGAGATATCCGGCAACCAAGGACGAAGTTCGATCATTTTTGGGACTAGTGAATTATTATGGTCGTTTTATAAAAAATTTGAGCTCTATAGTTTACCCTCTAAATCGATTACTGCACAAAGAAGTTCCATTTAATTTTGATGCTAAATGTAAATGGGCTTTCGAAGAAGTAAAGAGACAAGTGGGATCAGAGGTGGTGCTGACACATTATGATCCAAGAAAAAAATTAACATTGGCAGTGGATGCGAGCCCTACGGGTGTGGGAGCCGTATTGAGTCACGAATTTGGCGATGGAACGGAAAGACCTATACAGTTTGCATCGCAAACTTTAAATGCAACACAGAGACGGTATAGCCAAGTAGACAAGGAGGCATACGCAGTAATATTCGGGGTAAAAAAGTTTTTCCAATATGTATATGGAAGGGAATTTACTTTAATTACCGACAATAAAGCAATATCACAGATTTTTGCGCCTGACAAGGGATTACCGGTATTGTCTGCAACGCGTATGCAACATTACGCAGTATTCCTGGAATCTTTTGATTACAAGATTCGTTTGCGTAAATCTAAAGAGAATGGGAATGCAGATGCGCTATCGAGGCTTCCTGTAAATGAATGCAGCAAAACAATCAGCGAGATTGATCAAATTGAAATGGAATTAATTGAGAATTTGCCAATCACCGTCAAGGAATTAGGACAAGCCACAAAAAAAGATGCGGAAGTAAGACGTTTAGTAGACAGTTTGTCATATGGCCGGAAGTGTGATCCTGCCGACAGTTTTGGAATCGACCCATCCGAATTTAGCTTGCAACAAGGATGCTTATTAAGAGGCATAAGAGTGTATGTGCCAAAACCGCTGAGAACTAGAATAATACAAGAATTACATTCGGGACATTTTGGTGTATCAAAAATGAAGTCACTTGCCAGAGCGTATTGTTGGTGGAAAAATTTAGATAAGGACATTGAAAAAGCGGTTGCTGACTGTTATGAATGCCAGATCGGGCGACCAGATGTAAAGAAAGAACCGGTTCATTGCTGGTTACCTCCGAAGAAAGTTTTCGAAAGGGTGCATGTGGATTACGCTGGTCCCTTTTTGGGCAAATATTTTTTTGTACTGGTGGATGCTTTTAGTAAATGGCCGGAGGTAAGGATAGTTCGAGACATTACCACGGAGACAACAATCGAAGTATGTAGAAGTATATTTGCGCAATTTGGAATACCAAACATTCTAGTCAGCGACCACGGGACGCAGTTCAAAAGCGCGAAATTTCAAGAGTTTTTAAAACAAAATGGTATCATGCATAAGTTGGGGGCACCGTACCACCCTGCAACGAATGGTCAAGCAGAACGTTTTATACAAACTTTCAAGACCAAGTTGAAGGCAATGCCTCGTAAGGAGGAGTTACAGCGAAAAATTGATCAAATTTTATTGGCATATCGACGAGCAATTCACCCGGTCACGAATAAATCACCAGCTATGACAATGTTTGGGCGACAAATACAAAGCAGATTGGACCTCCTACTGCCCAACAATGAAGTCCGAGACCCCGAAAGACAAAAAACTACAAGAGAGTTAGCAGTAGGAGACGCTGTAATGGCTCGGGATTATATGGATAAGCTTAAGTGGAAGCCTGGAATAGTAAGAGAGAGAATTGGTGATTTGCATTACAAAGTGAGGCTGGAAGATGGTAGGTGTTGGAACAGACACATTGATCAATTGAGAAAGATTAATGGCAGAGTAATGCTGGATAACGAAGTTGAGGAAGCACATAGTGCTAGTTATGAGCCATCAGATTTGACTTTGGAGAAGAGAGAGAACCCTACAAGTATGAGTAATGCGGAACGAGAAGCAACAGACGAATGCGTGATGTCAGACAATCGAGATCAGTCCTTCGCAACGCCCCCAAGTTCTCCGGGGTCAGCATTCATCGGATTTGAAGAGCCAGCAGGGAATGGCGAGGCAGTCAACATAAGAACGAATCCTAGGAGGAATATACGGCGACCTCATCGACTAAATGATTATGTTATCGATACGGATTGAAAGGTATTAGTGTTCGGAGTTTTTAGCTAATAGTATTTTATTGAATTCATTTTAATATTTTTGTTATAAGAGAGGGGAGAGGTGTTGTATACGTTACGTATTCAATAACTACTAAACTACTATCGATGTAAGCATATGTAATAAACACCATCACTCAGTTGTTATG